TCCCTGGCAGTGTTGAAGGGCAGGTTGGATGGGGCTTGGAGCAGCCTGGGCTGCTGGGAGGTGTCCCTGCCCATGCAGGGGGTGGGACTGGATGGGCTTGAATGTCCCTTCCAACCCAAACCAGTCTGGGATTCTAGAATTCTTCGATTCTCTCAAACAGAAGAGACCTCTGCCTGGGTTCCTGCTGCCCAGGAGGGACCTCAGGGGAGAGGGATCAAATCCAATTAAGCTTCTCTCCCATTTGCATTGTTTCCATGGCCAAGGTCAGTGGGTTTTGCTCTTGTGGGCAGGAAATTCCAATGTTCCACGTCTGAAATGAGTTGCTCAGGCAGCTCTGTTGGGCTGAGGGCTTTGCTTGAGGTTGCAGCCCGAAGAGAGCACCAGCTTTGGTGAGGAGGGGGTTAAGGATCTTCTGGGTGGGTTCCCCACAGCATGAACCCCATGGCTTTTGGGGTGTGGGGACTCCAGTGTCCAAGAAGGACAACTGGAGTGTGGATGGGGCTGGTGTCCCCTCAGCTCCTTGTCTCCAGGCTGGACACCCCCAGCTCCCTCAGCTGCTCCTGCTCACACTTGTGCTCCAGCCCCTTCCCCAGCTCCCTTGCCCTTCCCTGGACACGCTCCAGCCCCTCCGTGTCCTTCTTGTCCCCAGGGGCCCAGAACTGACCCCAGGATTCCAGGTCTGGCCCCACCAGTGCTGAGGGCACTTCAGGGCAGGAAACCCTGTGGAAGAATTTCACCCCTTGGTTTGAGTTGTTCTCTGCAAGGTGCAGTGTTTGGAGGGTAAAACCACAGCTGGGGCTGAGCAACCTCCTCTGGAGGATCTCAGGGAGCATCCCAAGGGCTGTGGGTCAGTGGTCCTGGCCCAGTGACCCAGCCAGTGATGCTGCTGTGGCCCAGGCAGTAACAGAGCAGCTGCCTTCAGAGATAACTGGAAATAAAAGGGGAGGACAGGAACTGCCCACATCAGAGACTGGGTTCATTGCTCTCACCAGTTCCCCCTGGGAAAGGTGAAGGGAGCTTTGGGACCAAATCACCTTTGGCTGTTGAGGCAGGATCTGGGCAATGTGGCTGCCCTGTTCTCTGCAGAGCCCCATCTCTAGTGATGCTGCTTCTCCCTCAGGACTTGGCCCACCCCCTTCTCTGGCTGCTGCTCAGTTGAGAGCTCGTTTCTGATGACAAATTACAGAGCAGGAGGGAAGCAGGGAGCCTGTCAAGCTGTAATTGTGCCAGAGGTGCCAGGTAACAGCCCTTGATGAGCCCCCTGGGGAGAGAAGAGTTCCCTGACTTGCTCTAGGGAGGGAAGGTCCAACCCTGCCAGCTCAGGGAGGTTGTTCTCCAAGATGTTGCCTGTAAGGAAGAAGCAAGGATTGACCTGGCAAACTTCAGATGAAGCCTCAATGCAACCCTGCTTCCCACCCAGCTGGTGGTGGAGGAGGAAGTGCAGGGATTCCTGGTGCCAGTCCCTTGGGGAATGTTCAGGTTGCATCTCAGGGGTCTGCTGGGAGGCACATCCAGCAGCAAGAACTCCTGCCCTGGGCTGCAGAGACAGAAGAGCCAGGGATTGATAGAAGCCAAGGCAGCTCTGAGGGGTCTGGGTCCCACCCCACAGGGCTCAGCTCCATGGCCACCAGTTTCACTGGGGAAATTCCCTTGCAAAAGGAGCTTCCCTGAAGCCTCCTTTGCTCCCAGACACGAGGGGGCTTTTCCCCAAAAGAGGGAAAAACCTTTACACTGCAGAGCAAAAACCTCCAATGGGTGTCACACAGATCCAGAGGCTTTTTCTGCTCTTCAGTGTCACCCCTTTGGAGAGCAGTGGGGAGAGGAGAGGTCTTGGCACGGGGCAGGGAAGGGCTGGTGCACCTGCCCATGTTTTCCTGCATGTTGAGGAAGCCCCTCCCCAAAAAAAGAAGGCATGTTTGGTGTGAGTGTGTGCCCAGGGTTGTGGGTGTGAAGAGGCAAGAAATCCCTTGGGCCACCAGGCTTTTGGGGAGATGAGCCCAGTTTTCCTTCAGAGAATCACAGGAAACAAGGATGGAAAAGGTGGAAAAGAGCTTGAATGGAAAAGATGGAAAAGACCCTGAAGATCATCAAGTCCAACCTGTGACCTGACACCCCCACATCTCCAGACCATGGCACCAAGTGCCACCTCCAGCCTTTCCCTGAGCACCTCCAGGGATGGTGCCTCCCTGGGCAGCCCATCCCAAGGTCTGCTCACCCTCTCCATGGGGAAGTGATTCCTGATGTCCCACCTAAACCTCCCCTGGAGCAGCTTCAGGCCTCATCCTTCATGCCAGAGGGGCACCCAGTGCTCCTGGTCCCAGCTACCAAATGGCCATAACTCCATTAATGAAGTTGCATTGATGAGGGTTTAAGGAATCACTCAGCCCCTACCCCTGCAGACATGGTGCTGGCTCCTGAGCACCCTGGCTCAAACCCAACCCTGGCTGAGCAAGACCAAGGGTGTGAGCTGAGCAGCTGAGGGCACCTCCAGGGTTGGCTGATCCCATCACCTCCAGGCAGAACAACATTCCAAGGGCTTAAAAGATTTGTGTGGAGCTGGGCTTGGAAAGAAGCTGCCACCATCTCAGGCTGTGATTATTTATTCTCCTTCCTCACACAACATGGAACATATGGGCCCCTTTCTCCACCAGGGATGACTAAATGATGGCATCTGGTGCTCTATTATCTTGCAAGTGGAAAGCAAATGAGAAAAGATCCCCTCCAAGCAGCATTCTGCTCCTGTCACAAAGATGCTCTTCATGCTCTGCATTCCAAGGTGCTGCTTTGCTGCCTTTCAAAGCCACCCCCTTCAGAGCCAGGCCTGGTTCTTGAAGGATGCTGAGATGGGTGGGAACTCTTTTGGTTTGGGTGGGTTTTTTTTTCCCTGAATGCCTCAGCTGGTCTCTGCAGGTGGGATCCATCCCTCCCTCACCTGCTGCATCTCAGCACCTGCTGCACATGTTGGCTGCTCTGCAGATCAGCAAGTCATAGAGTCACAGGGTGGGCAGGGTGGGAAGGGACCTCAGGAGATCACCCATCCAAGCCCTGCCAGAGCAGGATCCCCCAGAGCAGATCCCACAGGAACACGTCCAGGAGGGCTGGGAATGTCTCCAGGGATGGAGACTCCCCCACCTCTCTAGTCCAAGTCATGTCATGGCCTTCCCTTGCAGCAGCACCTCATGGTCCCCTCCTTAAAAACATTATTTACATGGTGCTTTGGGGGCTCCTCTGTGGCAAGAAGGGAGGTTGGAGTGAGGGAGCAGAGGAACCGGCCTCAGGTTGTGCCAGGGGAGGCTGAGGTTGGACCTTGGGAACAGTTTCTCCCTGGCAAGGGTTGTCAGGGCCTGGCCCAGGCTGCCCAGGGCAGGGGGGGAGTCCCCATCCCTGGAGGGGTTTCCAAGCCCTGGAGATGGTGCTGAGGGACACGGGGCAGGGGTGGCCTGGGCAGGGCTGGGGGAAGGGTTGGGCTGGATGAGCTTCAAGCTCTTTTCCCAACCAGAACAATTCCAAGCGAAGGGAGATGCCAGAGCCCCAGACCGCCAGCTCGGAAAGGACCTCCAGGACCTTCAGGTGGAGATGCTGTGCCCCTCACTGCTGGCTGCCTGTCCCCAGTGTCCCCTGACCCCAACCTCCTCCCTCTCTTGCAGCTGACCTACCTGCCCCCCCCCTGGGGCGAATGCCGCTCGCCGGACTCGGGCTTAGCCTTCTTTCCCGTTTACAGCATCACGGGCTGTCGGATCGACTGCGAGACCCGCTACATCGTGGAGAACTGCAACTGCAGGATGGTCCACATGCCAGGTCAGTGGGCTCCCAGCAGGGAGGGGTTAGCCAGCTGGAAAGGGATCATAGAATCCTAGAATCCCAGGGGTTGGAAGGGAGCTGGAAAGCTCCCCCAGCCCAACCCCCCTGCCAGAGCAGGGGCACCCAGAGCACATCACACAGGAACGTGGCCAGGGGGGTTGGAATGTCTCCAGAGAAGGAGACTCCACAGCCTCTCTGGGCAGCCTGGCCCAGGGCTCTGGCACTCTCACAGCAAAGAAGTTCTTCCTGAGATTCCCATGGAACCTCCTGGGCTCCAGTTTGCCCCCACTGCCCCTTGTCCTGTCACTGGACATCACTGCACAAAGCCTGGCTCTGTCCTCCTGACACTGCCCTGAACAGATTTGTGCCCATGGATGAGGTGGCCCCTCAGTCTCCTCTTCTCCAAGCCCAACAGCCCCAGCTCCCTCAGCCTTTCCTCAGCAGGGAGATGTTCCCCTCCCTCCAGCATCTCTGGGGCTCTGCCCTGGGCTCTTCCCAGCACTTCCCTGTCCTTCTGGAACTGAGGGGCCCAGAACTGGGCACAGCATCCCAGAGGTGGCCTCACCAAGGCAGAACAGAGGGGGAGGAGATCAGGGGTGACAAGAGCTGGGAACAGCTCACCTGGAGGAAAGAAGGTTCCTCCTGGCTTTTGGAGAGTCATGAATCATAGAATGGTTGGAAGAACCCCTGGAGATCACCCATCCAAGCCCTGCCAGAGCAGGATCCCCCAGAGCAGATCCCACAGGAACACGTCCAGGAGGGCTGGGAATGTCTCCAGGGATGGAGACTCCCCCACCTCCCTGGGCAGCCTGTCCCAGGGCTCTGCCACCCTCCCAGCAAAGAACTTTCTCCTCATCTTCAGCTTGACCCTCCTGGGCTCCAGTTGGTGCCCATTGCCCCTTGTCCTGTCCCTGGGCACCACTGGGAAGAGATTGTCCCATTCTTCTGGACAGATATTAATGTACCTTAATAAGATCCCCCCTCAGTCTTCTCCTCTCCAGACTGAACAGCCCCAGGTCTCTCAGCCTTTCCTCATCACGTTCCAGTCCCTTCATCATCCTTGTAGCCTCCCTTGGACTCTCTCCAGTCAATCCCTGTCCCTCATGAACTGGGGAGCCCAGAACTGGACACAACCCTCCAGATGTGGCCTCCCCAGGGCAGAGCAGAGGGGCAGGGGAACCTCCCTCCACCTGAAATGCCCTGAAATAGGAGCAAGACTTGGCAGAGGGACATGGGGCTGATTTCCCCTCATTTCCTTGTGGTCCCCACCAAGAGCCCAGTGGTCCCCAGTTCCCCCATGGCAGCAGTGGGTGATGCCCACTGGTGGGTGGGTGATGCCCACTGATGGACATGTCCTTCCCTGCAGGGGATGCTCCCTTCTGCACCCCAGAGCAGTACAAGGAGTGTGCAGAGCCTGCACTTGGTGAGTACCAAGAGACCATCCCTGGGTTCCACAGGTGTGCCAGGCTGGAGGGACTTCCAGCAGCCTGTGTCCTCCTGCCTTGCAGGACTGGGGGGATCTAGAGCAGCTGCAGCCAAGTGATGGGTTTTGATGAGACCCAACTTGTTGGGAAGGGCTGGGTGCATCCTGAGGTGAAGTCTCTTCTGGTTCTAGGTGGGACATGGGCCTCAGAAACCCTCAGGATAACAGGCCATGGAGGAGGGGACACCTCCTGGGCTGGGTTGGGGATGGAGGGACTCATTCTAGGTCTGCTTTTAGGAGACTCAACCACCCCACATTCCCCAAGCAGGTGCTGGTGATGGGGTGTAGCCTCCAGCAAAAGGTCTCTCCCCAGGATGGTGGGGATGGACACACAATGAAGTGGGAGAACAGCCAGGGCTGGGTTTCCTGCAGCTCTTCTGAGATGTGACTCCTTGGTCTGGGTGGCATGTCCTCTGCTCCCACAGCTCCTGTGTGTCCCTGACTCCAGCAGCTCTAACTCTGTGACCTTCTCCAGGTTTGCTTGCTGAAAAGGACAGCAATTACTGTATCTGCAGGACACCTTGTAACCTGACCAGGTACAACAAAGAGCTCTCCATGGTCAAGATCCCCAGCAAGACCTCAGCCAAGTACCTGGAGAAGAAGTTCAACAAGTCAGAAAAATATATCTCGTGAGTGTGGCAGAAGCAGAGCCCTGCTTGGTGGGAGGGAGTGTTTGTGCCAAGACCAGACCTTGCCTGTGCCTCCATCACCAAGCAGAGGTCCATCCTCCAGGGAGGGTCAGGAGGAAACCTTTGAAGAGAGGAGGTGTAGGTTGATTTCTTCTCAGTTGATGTATTTCCAGACAACTGGATGTTCCTTCCCTGGCCTTGTCTTCATGACCACACTCCAAAAAGAGGTGTAAAAATTCCTCTTATTTTGCCAGGGAAGCCCAGTCTTGCTGGCCCTGCATGAGATGGGGCTCCTCTCTACCTGCATCTGGGCTGTGGACCTCAGGCAGTTGGGACCTCTCTCAGCCCTGGGACATTCCTGCCTGGTGGAGACAGGGAGTTATTCCATGTGAATCATCCTTGGGACTCTTGCTGGCACCATCCCAGTGAGATCTCAGATCCTGAGAGATCTTGGGGAAACATCTTCCAGCTTCTACTAAGGTCCTTATGGTGCCCTCTGGTCTTGGTCTCCAGGAGGTCCTGTGGGACCAGTCAGGAATAAAGCCCCAAATTCCCTATTTTCCCAAGGCACAGGAGGCTTCTGGTGGCTCCTGGTGCCTGATGTTCTTCTCTTTCTACAGAGAGAATATTCTTGTGCTGGACATATTTTTTGAAGCACTCAACTACGAGACAATTGAGCAGAAGAAAGCCTATGAAGTGGCAGCCTTACTTGGTAAGGGGACCTTCTGGAGTCTGTGGGAACCTGTGCTGGAGTCTCGGTGTGTTTTGGGGGGGACAGATGCTAGGAATTGGGGCACAGCTTCTCTGCCTTGCCTTGAGGGTCCCAGCAAGGTCCTGACACCTTCCTGGCCAGCAGGTGTTCAACCTCATCTCTTCCTTCCATCCCAGGAATGGCCCAGGGACCACAGCTAGTCCATGTATCACCTGGGAAAGGTTCATGTGAGGTTCTCCATCTCTTTGTGCTACCAAGGCTCTGGTAGTTGGAATTCCTGGGGCTGAATGGGGTGATGGGTGCTCTCTGTGGTGGCCCCCATGCTGGAAGGGCAGGGTGTGGAGGGGGACAGCTCTTCCAACCAGTGACCATGCTCTTCCAACCATTGACCATGCTCTTCCAACCACTGACCATGCTCTTCAAACCTCTTACATGCTCCAAATCCTCCTCCTTTCCAGCCAGGACTCTGAGCTCTTTGCCTTTATGTGGTGACCATCTCATCTTGATGGAGAAGGTGGAGGAATTGTTGAGTTGCTCCAACTGGGTCAAACTTTGTGGGCACCAATGACAGATTTGGGTGCTTGGGACCTGTTGGGTTTAGGGGTGGAGGTGGTTGGTCAGAAGAAGCCAGGATGCTCTGTGCCCCCCTGGATGCCCCCCACATCCCTCCTGGGATGCAGGGAGTGCCCAGCACCTTTGTTGGAAAGCTGGAGCCATCCCAGGGGAGTTGGGTCCTGGGGATGGGGACCCTGCAGGGGGGCAGAGCACCCCAAGTCCCATTGGGTGCCCCTGTGTCACCCCTCTGTAGAGCACAGGTGCTGTGAGCCCTTCTGCACCTCTTGTGGGCACCCCAGGAGAGCTGCAGTGAGGAGGAGGAGGAGGAGCCTGGGGATGAAGCCTCTTGGACACAAGCCCCCCTTGCATGTCCCTCCCCAGGGCCCTGTGGGCCTTGGGCAGAGGCTCATCCCCCCCAACCAACCCTTTGCCCCAAACACCCTTTTTTTCCCCCCTTCTGCCTCCTGGACACCCCAGGGAAGGTCCCACAGCCCCCACGGGTGCCTTTGCTCTGAGGAGCAGTTGAGCCATGAGGGTTGTGCAGCAAAGCCCATGGGGTTTGTCCTCCCTGAAGCCCCCAGTTGGGCCCAGCCCAGCATCCTGTGGGTCTTCCCAGTAGATCCCTGCAAGTCTCCTCTCCCCATGGTGCCTCCACCCCAGCCAGGGCAGAGACAACCTCAAGATGTGCCCCTAACAAAGCTTTCCCTTTGGCAGGTTTTTCTGGAGCTTCTTCTCATCTCCAGAGGACACTGCCTAGTTTTTCTCCACCATCTTCCTCCTTCCCCTGCCTAGTTTGGGATTTGGGGTTTGGGATTCCTGGGATGAAGCCACCTTGGGCAGGTGGCTTCTTCAGATGTGTGGTGTCACATCTTCATCAGGCTCCCAGCTGAGCAAGACAGATGCTTTGGTGGCCCTCACCATCCTTCCTGGGGTGGTTCTCATGGCATTAGAGCTGTTGTTGTTCCTGAGGGTGCAACTCTTGGGGGGATGGCAGCACCCAAACTGCACCAGGGCTGCTCCTGAGGGCATTTACCCCAGGGGTGACACTGTCCCATTGCTGTTGTCTCTCCTAGGTGACATTGGAGGCCAGATGGGGCTCTTCATCGGTGCTAGCATCCTCACTATCCTGGAGCTCTTTGATTATATCTATGAGGTAAGAACTTCTTGTTCCTCTGGTGGGCTGGGGGTTTGTCAGGCTGGGGTGGCCACAGAGCAGGACCCTCCAACGTGTCCACCTGGATGATGAATGTTAAGGAATGATGCTCCATAATGAATGCTCTCTAATTAATGCTCTACCACAGGGGGTCTACCCCAGGGGACATGGTTGTCCCCACGGGGGGGCATCATGCAGCCATGGCACAGCCTGACCAGGCTCCCTGTCTCTGCTAATGAGGGTTGCTTCTCATTTGGGCTAATTAAGCACAACCTTCATGTGGCTGGTGCTGCTTCCCACCCTGGAGTTTGCAGTGCCTGGGATACTGGGGACCTCTTGTCCCCATCCCCACTTCTCCCAGCAGCAGCTGTTGGCACCTTCCAGTGAAAACCCCCTTGGGCTCAGAGATAGAGAATCATGGAATCCTTTAGGTTGGAGAAGACCTTCAGGATCATGGATTCCAACCCCAATCCAGCTACCACAACCACTGAACTGTGTCCACATGGAAACGCTGCTTGGAGCATC